TGAAAGTTCTGCCGGAGCTTTATTTGAACTTTATGGAACTTAAGAGTTCTGTCGAAACTTTATTTGAACTTATGTCGGGACTTCATTCGAACTTTATGGAACTTGAAAGTTCTGTCGGAATTTTATGGAACTTGAAGGTTCGGTCGGATCTTTATTTGAACTTTATGGAACTTGAAAGTTCTGTTAGAACTTTATTCGAACTTTATGGAACTTGAAAATTCTGTCAGAATGTTATTCGTTTTTTATGGAACTTGAAAGTTCTGTCGGGACTTTATTCGAACTTTATGGAACTTGAAAGTTCTGTGTGAACTTTATTTGAACTTTATGGAACTTGGAAGTGATTTTAATCGTTAAATGCGGAACTTTTGGTTACTTGGGTTGACATGGACAAAAGGTCTAAATAGAAAAAAAAGGTCAAATGGACAAAAGGTTGAAGCAGAAAAAATATCGTAATGGACAAAAGGTCGACATGGAAAAAAAGGTCGAAATAGAAAGACGGTCGAAATAGAAAGAAGGTCGAAATGGACTTATGGTCAAATGGGCAAAAGGTCTAAATGGATAAACTGATCAAATTGTTGGAGGATAAATTGGGTGGCTAACCTTAAAATAATTTCCCTTCTTTGAATCACAAATAAAGAAAGCGATCGTCCATGAAAGTTCTGTCGGAACTTTATTTGAAATTTATGGAACTTGAAAGTTCTGTCGAAACTTTATTTGAACTTCTGCCGGGACTTTATTTGAACTTTATGGAACTTGAAGGTTCTGTAGGAATTTTATTTGAACTTTATAGAACTTGAAAGTTCTGCCGGAGCTTTATTTGAACTTTATGGAACTTAAGAGTTCTGTCGAAACTTTATTTGAACTTCTGTCGGGACTTCATTCGAACTTTATGGAACTTGAAAGTTCTGTTAGAACTTTTTTCAAACTTTATGGAACTTGAAAGTTCTGTCAGAACTTTATTCGATTTTTATGGAACTTGAAAGTTCTGTCGGGACTTTATTCGAACTTTATGGAACTTGAAAGTTCGGTGGGAACTTTATTTGAACTTTATGAAATTTGAAGGTTCCGTTGGAACTTTATTTGAACTTTATGGAACTTGGAAGTGATTTTAATCGTTAAATGCGGAACTTTTAGTTACTTGGGTTGACATGGACAAAAGGTCTAAATGGAAAAAAAGGTCAAATGGACAAAAGGTTGAACTAGAAAAAATATCGTAATGGACAAAAGGTCGACATGGAAAAAAAGGTCGAAATAGAAAGACGTTCGAAATAGAAAGAAGGTCGAAATGGACTAATGGTCAAATGGGCAAAAGGTCGAAATGGATAAACTGATCAAATTTTTGGAGGATAAAATGGGTGGCTAACCTTAAAATAATTTCCCTTCTTTGAATCACAAATAAAGAAAGCGATCGGCCATGAAAATTCTAGGGTGCAATTATGTGCCATTGCACAGTAAGGAACAACTTTGAAGAAGAGACTTTTTGTCTAAAGTTTCAATGTTAGGCTCAAAACATATCCTTCCACCAAAGTCTACATTCTAGATCACTGTGCATTGCTTAGATATGATTTTTGAAAGATGTGTCATTTGTTCGGGGGTTTGAGCAATGTCTCGAACATGGAGCATTAAAACAGGGTGGTATCTTCGACATAGTTCAAGTTTTGTTGAATTACTTTGCAAAAAAATATTAAATAAAAACTTCTTTTCATAATCAATAACCGATTTCTTTATCTTTTTAACTAAAAAAAAAACAATATCTTTAAAACCAAGGTCATTGCAAATTTGATGTATTCATAAGAGTTTTATTAATAAACAACTTTGTAGAAGAAACGAATCTCCGGAATGAATTATTAAAAAGTCACATTTTGATTAACAGTGTAGTACAAGTTTAACAACAGTCAAACCACAACATCTCTAAAATTACTTGTTTAGAGTTATTAATGTTGTTCCGCTAGATTGCATCACTGAAACACTATGGAATTTATGTTGCATATACAATTTCCACGAAACTGTACGGATTCGTATACTAAATCAGGATATCACACTGTAGCCTGTAGCACTTCAAGATCTAAGCTCCAGGGTAATTTAAAGGTCTATCAGCCTATCGATTTTGCTCCACCAAGCTTAATCGGTTTCAAATCAGGTCATGGTAATTCTCCCAAAACTTGAGCTCATTTGAATGCGAAACCAAACTGCACTGGCCTTGTTGAAGTTTATATGGGAATTACTGTGGGAAAAGCGAACTTTTTGTTCTCATCGTTCTTGCCCTTCGCTGTAATGATATGTGGAAAAGTTTGGTATATATTCTAATGTGAAATTTTCTTAGGTGTAACTTTGCTGAGGACAGCATTTGGATTGAATGTCAGCATAATAAGTTATTAATTAATTAGGAAGATGGCATTCTGCTGACATGCTCCATAAACTGCTTAGCTGGCAACATTGGTATGCTTGGCGGGAAGAATAGGGTTAAATATCCAGGCTACTATGCCATAAGTCGATTAATCATTTCGGAAAGTTATCGGCTTAGAAATCAATTAGTAACTAATTGCCTTCAAGTCTAATCAAAAAGTGATCTTCATTACAGTTGTAGCTTATACAAATTGACATTAGAGCAGATAGCAAGCTGTTCCGTAAATTATTATAGCGAAGTGCTAGGACGCTGAGTGCGAAAAATTTACTTATCCCATAGTAATTCCCATGTAAACTTTAAAGGGCCAGTGCAGTATAAGTTCGCATTCAAATGAACTCAAATTTCGGGAGAATGATCAAGACCTGATTTATAATCGATTGAGCTAGGTGGATCTAAATCGGTGTTTTGAACCACCCTAGTATACATGCCACATAATATTTTTGGACACCACGAAACTCTACACTGAAAATAAAATTTCGTTTATACAACGAAATCGCTCGTTTGTACTACGAATCCATTCGTTGTTTTCTGCAACGAAATTGTTTCGTACTTTATACGAAGCGGTTATCGTTTCGATTCCTAAAATCAATTTTTTTTTTTTAGTTTACGAAGCGTTTCTAAAATGTATATACGAATTATTCGTTTGAGAAAATCGAAGCATTGAAAAAAGTACGAATCATTCGTATGTCCATAAAACATCATTCATTCAATGTACAAAAATCAGTACAATGACACGAACATTTCGTAAACAAATTAAATTGTTGTTTTGGATATCGTTGAAAGTACGAAAGCATTTCGTACAGCCATATTCTTTTATTCCATACCATAAACGACTTCAATTTGTACAATTTTTGTCGTTATGCTTTAATAATACGTCATTATGCTTTTAATATTAAGGGGTTTTACAAAACATAAACGGCTTGGGTGTCTGGTGATGTCAACTTCGATGCTAAACCGAACTGGGCTGAAGATCTCTCCACTTGTTGACTTGTACCGCGGGCAGCTGTATGACGGGGGCTTTGGTGTTTCTTCACACAGGTAATTATAAGTCTCGAAAAACATGGTTCAAATTGTATGCTCAGTTCGTCAGCGATTCACTCCCGTATTTTGGTTTCCCTGTCCATTGCCTGCCATCTGAATAGAAAATCCTGCCTGTTAATGTTCATGATGTGCATCGGTTTCACAGATTAATGTCAATCTAGAATCTGGGTTATTTTAAGCAACGGCAAGGAACCTTGAAGGAGTATAACTTTTAGACATCGTTAGAATCATAAATTACTGCAAATAACTTACTATAGTTTGACTGATAAAATATCGCCAATTGTGCTGCAACGAAAATTACTGCGACCGAACACTTTCACGAAAACAAACAACAAACGAAAATCCAGTTGTTTGGAATTTAATGACAGGCAACGAAATGTTATTCGAACTTCAAACGAATAATTTCATAGAGCTCACGAATAACACAGTGACAATAGCACGTATAGACGAAAAATTTCCGTATTGTATATGTATGTAGCTTTCATGTCAATACGAAACTCATTTAATTTATTGTAAGAATTATGCGTAATATTGGCGATGCACCGAACGGCACACAATAAGGATGTTTCGTACAATTAACGAAACAATTGTTTTATCTACGAATCACATGTTTACGAAATAAGCGTAAGAGAATTAACGAAAAAATATTTTCAGTGTACGGGCTCAGAAATTTATCTGAATATCGTGCAATACCTGGTTGAGTCTCCAGAACTACAAGGCACTTTTTAGAACCTCAGCTATATCGTTTACACAAATTATGTCCCACATGAGGTGGCGAGGTTCCAAGAAGCTCTGCGGATTCGTACACTAACTCAGGAAATTTACAATACTCTGTTGAGATCGTTAAACATCAAGATCCAATCTGCATTGTCTTAACAACTGTATATCTTACATGATACAATGGGGCGCCACGAATACGTATTTTTTTCAAAATTGTTGTCAGGCCAGCAAGAAATTCCTTATTGAGAAACTAAAGAACATCAAGATCTGAACTGCAGGAAAAATGTTTCTTATTTCATCGCTGGTCATTTAATTTGGGACTTGTACTTGATCAATAGAAGCTATAGTCCGTAAATCCACAAACCGAAAAGAGGGTAATAATTCATAAATCTTGTGAATTATTGGGAACAATGGGACACATGACTGGAGTATACACTTCATAACAAGGTGCATACGGTCATTCATAGATGCGCTGGATTGTCCTCGCAAAGGTTCATATTAACACTAAATAACAATCAAACAGTAACCAGTACAAATCAAATTCTACCAACGAAATCCACCTATTCGCTCTGTTCTCTAGTCCAACGATACAATCTAAGGCCAGTTCGGTTCGTCCGTCCTTGGTCCACCACTCATCAATCAATTCCAACGCGATGACAAGCATCCAGCCGGCGATCAGCAGAGTCCCGTCCGTCGTCCCGACGATCTTCATCGTTCATCAAAATATCCGAAAGCAATAAACCCACAACGGTCAACATTCTCGCCCCAAAAATCAAAGAAAAACCAAAACTCCCTTCCCCGCTACCAAACCATCCTCTCTCTTTCACCGCAGGTCAAGCCGTGGTCAATGAATACTCACGATTGCACAATCTGAACATGTTCGACGGTGTGGAGTTGCGCAGTATGACACGCCAGTCCGGATGATAGACTTTTTACACGACGAACTCCTGCGCCACCCCGGTGGTGGCAAAGGTCGAACCGGAACAAGAACGAACCAAGATCTGAACCAAGTTGAAACGAGAATCAAAAGAACTATGAATTACAAAACAAAACAAAAAACAGAGGATAAACCGCAAGTTCAAACTAGTGATTAGCTAAGGTGGAACCTTATTGTTCGAATATTTTTTTTTTCTATAAGACATACGAGGGAGTAGAGGGAAGAAGTTTGAAAAGTGCTATGGCGAAGAAATCTACACGATCGTGGGTATTCATCTGAGTCCGTCGAAAACAAAACAAAGAACACCGCCAGAAGTGATCGAATTTAGAGAGTGTGTACAAAAATGCCAAACGTCCACCAGGCGGAGAATGTTGAGGTCATTATTAACTTACGACTGAATCTTGCTCGTTTATTTTGTTCCGTTTGTGGGCTGGCAAAGCTGGTCGTCGGAAGTGGCCACACTTTCGTCTACCGTCTTTCCGGTGAGGATTCCGGGGAAGGAAAGCGTAATGAGCTAGAAGTTTTCATTTGTTATCTGTGTTTTACCTTCTTTTCATGGTGGAAATGAACGCTGATTGAACTAACAAATACAACCGACAGTGCAAATGCGGTTCAGCGAAAATGTCGACATGCAGCCATTCTGGGGCTACCACGTGTAGCTCTACTTGTGAGACAGCGTTCCTAAAGTGTGTGAAAGTGCAAACAAGTGAGGAAACATATAGTGCAAAGCAATTGTTAGGGGAAGAGATGAGGAAAGAATGTAACTATTATAATGAGGTAGTCGTGTTGCGTGAAAGCCGAAGTGTGTTCCATCTACCAAATAAAAGAAAGTCAATAGCAACAGTATGAAAAAAAATGGGACGACGACGATTGCAACGACAGCAGAATGAATCATCACCAACCGTCATCAAGCAACACCGGAACGTACCGATCTTCAAGCAACCAATCTTCAATCAATCAATCAACCGACGAAATCTCCAATCAACTAAATCTCTTCGATCGATCCTATTCGATTCGATTCGACTCTATGACCTGACAAACTATCTCTATCGCACTGCATCGCGTATGATGCCCGTTCTCAAGTGAAGAACAGCAGGTACTAGATTGAACGTTTCAAATGCCATGGTAAAATTTTCCCTTCGAATAGGTTATTCACCTTCTCGGGTCCCGGGAGACGTTCGGGCAAGAATCTGTCATCCAGAAATTATCTGCAAGCTCGGCTTATTGGTCAAACGTTTGTTATTCCGTTCCGACGCTTCAGCATTTGTTGGTGCCTGCTTTAGGGGAAAAGTAGCTGTTTCCTAGTCAGTAATGTTGATAACAAATGTTATAAGGTCGAAATGGGTTTAAATCATTAAGGTCATACTCTAAGGAAGTCTTAACATGAGACTTCAAGAGCACGAGTGTCAGCTCCCACAAATCATAGAAATATGAAATTGCTACTCCTTACTTGCTCTGCTACAACAGCAGCAACAGTAGCAATGTCAGCTTTGTATGTTTTGTGGATGTGATTTTGCAGTTACACGCGAAGGCTACCTTAGAGTATCACCGTAAATAACTTTAAAATTCGAAATTGCTTTAAAACGCCAAAAAGAACTTTACAAAACGCAAAATTGTTAAAACTGTTTCAAACACATCGTAGGTACATAAGCAAATCGGTGATCATCTCTTTTTGCCAGGGGGATACTCCTCACCATCCCTCTCCAACTGGGGAGTTTGGTAAAGAGAGATGATTATCCCGATTCGTACCTTCCTCAAAGTTGTCCTCGCTCGCTTTCTACTCTCTATTGTATAATTTTCACACTGCCGTACTCTAACGGAACTATCAACTATATACTTTCACCTCCTCCATCTATCGTATAAAATTTCCACTTAAGGTCTGTCATTTGACGCTTAGCACTTGTTCGGAACTTTGCTGCGGCCATGTTTTCAGCCTTGCCTGAAGTTCCTAAGAAATGCTTGGGGATGCTTTTTGGATTTTTTTTTTCAACTTCAAGTTGCTAAGAGTACGCATCAGAACTTTTTGGAGCCTGAAGTTTATCGTGTGCTTTCTATAGCTTCTAAAGCAGCCATAAAGTTCGGTAGGAACTTTATGTGAACTTTATGGAACTTGAAAGTTACGTCGAAACTTAATTTGAACTTTATGGAACTTGAAGATTCTGTCGGAACTTTATTTGAGTTTTATGGAACTTGAAAGTGGGTTTTATCGTTGAACGGGAAAGCTGTGTCTATATCCCGTAACCGTTATAAGGTACCCAAGCAATACACATCCATCATAATAAGCTACTGCAACTTGATTGTGACTGTAATAAGTTACATACAACTACCGAGAACTGTTCAGTGACAAGTGTGCAGCTAGGGTAGTGAACTTTGTCGCAAAACTCGTTGTCAACCAGATGCTGCATCAATTTTAGGTTACTTGCAAATCAATGTCGACCCAGTGTTGGGTTGGCGTCGGACAAATGTCGAATAAATGTGTTCAAATTTTGCGTCGGAATGTTGTCCACAGGTTAAGTTTTTTCTTTGATTTGTTTTCCGTCAATCTTGTTTTCCTCACTGAGTACCAATACTACCGACGTCAGGAACCCATATCAACCCATCAAACCCATGGACCGGGTACCAACGGCTTTGCTTCCCTTCCGAAGGAAGCCGTGATCAGAGATTTTATGCCTCAGAAAATCCCAACGGCGCCGACTGCGATTGAACCGACGCCCTTTGGAGTGAGAGGCACTCTCGCATAACACTACACCACAGGTTTCCGAGTAGCACACTTCCGCTACAATAAGTTGCAGCAACTTGTTTATGATTGAAATAAGTCGTATAGTAGTTTCCACAACCGATTCGAGACAGGCGTGCATAACATTCCAATCATAATAAGACTTTACTCAGCCATTATTCAACTCAAATTGTTTGTGTTGTGAGCATACAAATTTGCGGACAAAACCTTATAACTCCTAAAATTCTTGTCATATAGGTTTGGTGTTTCGAGCAATGTTGTTCAAGTAAATAAGATCTATAATTTGACATCATTTGTTTTGATCTGCATCACTACATTTAGATCTAGATCAGCTCAGGAAGCACACTATTAAAACAAAACCTTCTCCAAATTTTCCAGATAGTGAAAAGCTATCTTTTGATACGATTAAAACAGACCTTGATTACTAAATTGCTTTGATCTAGATCAGTTCTTTATTTTAGTAGAAGCATCTTATCGAAAAAAAACCGCATGACTCAAAACATCAAGTCATAAATGTTTGGTGTCCCGGTAAATTGGCCCTATATTTTGAGGAAGCACGCTATTAAAACAAAATCTTCTCTAAACTTTTCCAGGTAGATACGAGCTATATTTTGATACCAGAAGAACTGACCTTGATTACTAAATTATGTTGATCTAGATTAGATCTTCTAGCATCTCATCGGACAAAACCTCAGAACTCGTCAAATTCAAGTCATAGAGGTTTGATGTCTTGAGAAAAGTTCTTCAGGTGAATGAGATCTATCTTTTGACATCATTCGTTTTGATCTAGATCTCTACATTTTTATCTAGTTCGGCTGTATCTTTTGGGAAAGCACGCTATTGAAACAAAATCTTCTCGAAAAAAATCGAGTCATAGAGGTTTGGTTTCGATTTAGTTCAGCTTTATCTTTTGAGAAAGCACGCTATAAATAATCGTACTAAAGAGCTATCTTTTGATACCATTAGAACTGACCTTGATTACTAAATTATTTTGATCTAGATCAGTTCTATTTTTTAGAAGCTTCTAATCGGACAAAACCTCATAACTCCTCATATTCACGTAATAATAGAGGTATCAAACCTTGGAAAAAGTAGTTCAGGTGAGTAAGATCTATCTTTAGACACCATTTGTGTTGATCTAGATGACTACATTTTGATCTAGCTCAGCTCTATATTTTGAGGAAGCACGCAATTAAAACAAAATTTTCTCCAAAAATTTCCAAATAAATACGAGCTATCTTTTGATACCAGTAAAACTGACCTTGATTACTAAATTTTGATCTAGATTGGTTCTATCTTTTGGTAGAAGCATCTTATCGGACAAATCCTCATGACTCCTCAATTTCAAGTCGTAGAGTTTTTGTGTCGTCAACAAAGTTGTTCAGGTGAATAATATCTATCTTTTGATATCATTTGTTTTGATCTAGATCTTCACAATTTGATCTAGATCAGCTCTATATTTTGAGGAAGCACACAATTAAAACACAATCTTCTCTTAAGTTTTGCAGATAGATACGAGCTATCTTTTGATACGATTAGCACTGACCTAGATTACTAAATTGTTGTTATCTAGATCAGTTCTATCTTTTGGTAGAAGCATCTTATCGTACAAAACCTCATAACTCCTAAAGCGGAAGTCATAGAGGTTTGGTGTCTTGCGCAAAGTTGTTCAGGTGAATAAGATATATTATATCGTATATTTTGACATCATTTGTTTTGATCTAGATAACTACATTTTGATCTATTCAACTCTATATTTTGAGAAATCGCGTTACTAAAACAATATCTTCCCCAAATTTCTACAGATAGTTGAGAGCTTTCTTTAGATACGAATAAAACTGACCTTGATTACTAAATTGTTTTGATCTAGATCACTTTTTCTTTTGTTAGAAGCATCTTTTCGGACAAAACGTCATAACTACGAAAAAAATCGAGTCATAGAGGTTTGGTGTCAGGTGAATTAGATCTATTTTTTGACATAATTCATTGTGATCTAGATCACTCCATTTCGATCTAGTTCAGCTTTATCTTTTGAGAAAGCACGCTATCAAAAAATCGTATCCAAGGTTTTCTAGATAGATAAGAGCTATCTTTTGATACCATTAAAACTAACCTTGAATACTAAATTATGTTGATCTAGATCAGTTCTACTTTTTTAGCATCTAATCGGACAAATATAGAGGTTTGGTGTTTCGGCAAAGTTGTTCAGGTGAATAAGACATCTTTTGCCATCATACGTTTTGATCTAGTTCGCTACATTTTGATCTAGATCAGCTATTTATTTTGAGGAACAGCTAACTTTTGATGCGATTAGAACAGACCTTGATTACTTAATTGTTTTGATCTAGATCAGTTCTTTTTGTTTGTAGGAGCATCTTATCGGAAAAAAAAATCAAGTCATAAAGGTTTGGTGTCCCGGGAAAATTGTTCAGGTGAATCAGATCTATCTTTTGACATAATTTATTTTTATCTAGATCACTCCATTTCGATCTAGTTTAGCTTTATCTTTTGAGAAAGCACGCTATCAAAAAAAAAATCTTCTCCAAAATTTTCCAGATAGATAAGAGTTATCTCCTGGTACAATTAGAACTGACCTTGATTACTAAATTATTTTGATCTAGATCAGTTCTATCTTTTTAGCAGCATCTATTCGGATAAAACCTTATAACTCCTTAAAATTCAAGTAATAGAGGTTTAGTGCCTTGGACAAAGTTGTTCAGGTGAATAAGATCTATCTTTAGACATTATTTGTTTTGATCTAGATCGCTACATTTTGATCTATATCAGCTCTATATTTTGAGGAAGCACGCAATTAAAACAAAATCTTTTTCAAAGTTTTCCAGATAGATGAGAGCAATCATTTGATACTTTGACATTTGACCTTTATTGCTAAATTAGTTTGATCTAGATCATTTCTATCTTTTAGTAGAAGCATCTTATGGGACAAAACCTCGTAACTCCTCAAATTCAAGTCACAGAGGTTTGGTATCCATGGTAAAGTTGTTCACATTTTGATCTAGATCAGCTGTATATTTCGAGGAAGCACGCTATTTAAACAAAATCTTCTCCAAAGTTTTCCAGATCGATGAGAGCTATCCTTTGATACGATTAGAACTGACCTTGATTACTAAATTTTGTTGATTTAGATCAGTTCTATCTGTTGGTAGAAGCATCTTATCGGATAAAACCAAGTCATATAAGTCATAGAGTATGGCGTTTCGGCAAAGCTGTTCAGGTGAATAAGATCTGTCTTATAACACCATTCGTTTTGATCTAGAGCAGCTCTATATTTTGAGGAAGCACGCTATTTAAACAAAATCTTTTCGATTTCCAGATAGAAAAAAAGCTATCTTATGTTG